CCAATTGATGAAGAGCACCGCGGTGTCCATCAACAGAGTTTGAACTAAAGTTAGATAATTTTGCCGACGGGACTTCCGAACCAACGAACACTCGACTTGTAAGTATCGGTGGCATGCTGCTAAACCCAGCTGGCAATGTGGTTTCATATTTCGGATCCTACTTTTCGGGATCCCTGCTGGACGTTTGTCTTGAAGAGCAAAGACACACAATATTTGAACTCGAATTTTTTTCCAGTGGTCGTTGCGCTCAGAGCGTGGTCGAAATTTATCATGGGAAAATTGGTATCCTATTATTTGGACAACGATGCAGCGATATCGACCTTCATTCGTGCAAGTGCTTCGACATCCCTGAGTATCACTCTGGTTGCGCATTATGTAGACTTGAATACAAATGCATTTTCTCCTATCGGTTTGCAGAGTTGCCAGTCGCAGCAACCCAGCAGATCAACCATTCCGCTTAGATTTTCTCCGATCTGTCTACGTGATGCAGAAAGGTTTGAACTTGTCCTGCCAGCGCACTTGTCGCAGTGGGGAATCAACGGGTGCACTGACTTTTGAGAAACATGACTCACTGAGTCGAAGTTCAAACATGGATAGGCAGCATGAACCTATCCGGGACCACTCATTTGAAGCTGGAATCACGGCCAGCATCTCGAAACTTCCCCGACAGTGCAAACCTGGAAGATGAAAAAGGACGCTTTGGATCGCAGCTGCTTCACCTTTCGTTTGCATTCATGTCCGAATTTTCTCGAAACGGATCGAAACCTTTTCATCATTTTCAGTTTGGGAATGTTTAACGAAGCAAGACGAAGGAGAATGCGGAATCACGTGGCGCGTATTTCTTTTGTTAGTTTGTATACGTTTGTATAGATGCCAATTCATTAACCTCATCAACCTTTACAGTATTCTACTTGGAAACTTCCACCAACAAGCTCTGTTTAGTTTAAACTTGGACCTGGTTTATGGAGGAATAAGGTGTCACTCTTTTGAAAAAAGATGAAAGCATTATTCCTCGAAAAAAATTGTGAGGTATCGCAAATAAGGTCCTCGACTTTAAACTGTCTTGTGGTGAAAGAATCTCTTCTGCAAACAGCCACTGAAACATTGTTGGTGCACTCAAGTTTAACAACAAACAATTCATGACCGCTCTTGTTTTCTAAACGAACAATCAACACTGAAACACACGTCAGTGGTGGTCATGTTAATATCAATTTTCTGCTGGTGCATTACCCATCAAGTGGTGGGAGGGAGGGACCCCTTTTTATAAGGGAAATTTTCGAGTACCCACCCCGTTACACTCCCACCCTGAATGGGAATCAACGGGTGCACTGACTTTTGAGAAACATGACTCACTGAGTCGAAGTTCAAACATGGATAGGCAGCATGAACCTATCCGGGACCACTCATTTGAAGCTGGAATCACGGCCAGCATCTCGAAACTTCCCCGACAGTGCAAACCTGGAAGATGAAAAAGGACGCTTTGGATCGCAGCTGCTTCACCTTTCGTTTGCATTCATGTCCGAATTTTCTCGAAACGGATCGAAACCTTTTCATCATTTTCAGTTTGGGAATGTTTAACGAAGCAAGACGAAGGAGAATGCGGAATCACGTGGCGCGTATTTCCTTTGTTAGTTTGCATACGTTTGTATAGATGCCGATTCATTAACCTCATCAACCTTTACAGTATTCTACTTGGAAACTTCCACCAACAAGCTCTGTTTAGTTTAAACTTGGACCTGGTTTATGGAGGAATAAAGACTTCTTCCTGATCCAAAGAGGGCGGCGGAGATCCCTAGCGACCAGCCCTTCCTGCTACACGCGCTGGCACAGTCGCTCAGACTGATGGGGGGATCCGGACATTGACATCATTGACAACGAAGAGTACTCATGCTACACTGAAGGTGTCGATCTTGGCCACCTGAAGCCCCTTGGACCGACTCCTCAGGTGTACGGGCACCGCAAAAAGGAGCCGAACTATGATGATTCTGAATGGTCCTTCAACATGGACAACTACTTCAAAGGGAGCGAAGAGGAGGCAGAAAGAATCCTAGAAGCACAATTCAGGGAGGAGGAAACAGAGGGGCGCATGAAGCCTCTGTCAGAGAAGGAGGCAAGGAGACTTTACCCGGAGGGGGCTTTGAGGACAGCTGCGCAGGGTATCCTGGACAAGCCAGACGGTGGACACCGTATCATTCACGATGGTACTCACGGTGTCCACTTAAACAACGAGAGTCAGATTGAGGACAGGTTGGAGAACCCAGGCCCCCGTGAACTGGCATGTATTATGGAAACATCTATAGCAGCTGGAGAACGGGTTATTTTTGCAATCAATGCGGACATTGCGAAAGCCCACAGAAGAGTCCGCGTCAAATCTTCAAATTGGGGAGCCCAGGCATGCAAAACCTCGAGCAAGTCACAGGTGATTTGGGTCAACAGAGTTGGCACCTTTGGTGTCGCATCAGCCGCCTTTTGGTGGAGTAGGCTCATGGGTTTGCTGGGCAGACATGCCCTGAACATCCTTGGAAACGACTGTATCTTTGTGCTTACATTTGTGGATGACCTTCACATCGCTGTGGGACGTGCAAAGAGCTGGTTGGGACCCCATTTTCATACAAGAAATTTCGCGGTGGATTTGCAGTTGATTATGTGGGTTACTGGATGGATTACAGCCGGTTTGAGATTGGGATTTCTGAGAAGCGCACGGCGGCTTATCGCCTTTGTGGACAGGCTTGAAGCAGATGGATGGCTTGTGATGGTGCGCTGTTTCCAAGAATTTCATGGGAGACTTGGATTCGCTGCACAAGTTCTTCCGTGGCTTAGGCCTTTGCTGGCCCCGGGGTACACTTGGATGGCAGCAGTTGGAAAGGGGTCAACAGTGAAGACTCCTGAGCTGGTAGCCGCCGTTTGTTTGTTCATCAAGGAAAAGCTTAAGGGTGGCCTCAGGAAGACGCCATGCTCTCAAGGCGAGACAGACCTTGGTGAAGTTTTTCGAACGGACGCCAAATGCGAGGATGCAAGAATCGTGTTAGGAGGATGGATGACCTATGGTGGAGTGAAGTCTTCAGAGGCACCTTGGTTCTCGGTGGAAGTGCTGCCCCACCAGGCACCGTGGCTTTTTAGAGGGGACCGTAAGGAGAGCACCTGGGCGAGCACGTCAGCAGAACTCTTGGCGTCGCTGATTGCGATCAAATTGTTCCAGGTGGAGAAGCTGAGTGGACATGGCCAAAAAGGCCCATGTCGTTAGATGTGGTGGAGGAACCGACAACAAAGCAGCGGATCTCCTGGTTCAGAAGCGCCTCAGTACCAAGGTGCCCTTGATGTTCATTTTGATCGACTACCTGGCGCATTGTGAGAGCATAGGGATCAGATGTCAATTGGACTGGAGGCCTCGTGACGTCAACGTGAACGTGGAGGCTGACGACCTCACGAACCAGACCTTTGACAAATTCAGCTTGGCCAGGAGGATTCAGTGTTGTTGTGAGGATTGGAAGTTTCTGATGTTGGACCTCCTGGTTGGTTTCAGTGAAAGTTTCTCGAAGAGAAAGTTTGAGACTTCAGCTGCGAAGGCCAGTGGAGAAGTTGCCAGGTTCAAGAAGTCAGAATGGGGATGAGTGGTACGTGTTCAGAGGGGTTTTTATCTCCCCACATCATCCTTTGGCCAAAATGGCTGCGCTTTTCTTTCACGAACTAAATTCAGTTCTTTTGGATGCTGTTACGCATCGAACCGATAGAAATGGCGACTTCTCCATCTTTGGCGCAAAAAGGAAGTGTGTATGTGCTTGCATTGCTTCACATGTTGCTGAATGATGTTTTGGAGTGTTTTGGAATTTCCGTTAATTGGTTTTAGAGAGACAAGCGACGTTTTCAGAAGATGCGATGTAGTTTTCGTGGCAAACGCAGCATTTTGGACGTGTTCATCGTCATTTTGCGTGGCAAGTGCAGCACTTTAGACGTGTCGTGTTGCGTGTTTTTTGCATATCGCATTGTCAGGCCTGCGTCAAGTGGCGACAAGGTGCAAATTCCATGGCAGGCGTGGAGTTTTGTGAGATGTGATGAAAATTGACGGACGCCTCGCACGAAACATCGATTTTGAGGTACAAAATTTGGCCACGCTTTACACTCCACACTTTACACTCTACACTTTACACTCCGCACTCTACGCTCCACACTCCACACTTTACACTTTACACTCCACACTCCATACTTTACACTCCACACTTTACACTCCATACTTTACACTCCAGACTCTACACTCCACACTCCGCACTTAGCACACCACTTTCTTCCATATTCCACAGTCTACAGTGCACTGGTGTGGTAACAGGGGAAAAATGTACAAGACTCTTCAAATGAACTGTTTCACAAAAGTGTGACTGCATACCCATGTGTTTCGACATCTGTACCATTAACATACGTGTGAGCATTCGGGTTCGTGGGGCTGCATCTTGTTTTTTTTAAATGCTATAGGTTCCCACAGGTCTACAGAAGTTGATCCAAACTTCTGAGACCTCCTTTGACATGAGAACCGCCTTGGTTTTTGAGCTTATCAGTTAGGGGCTTTTGATGGTGGATTCCTCATGATGGGACCGCCGTTCTTGATAAGTTTCTGATCAACATATAAGATATATTGTTGCCTAATATCCGCATTTGATGTCATTTTTTTTCAGTTTATGAAACTGACTGTCATGTTGATCAACGCCCCCATTCCCGGTGAATATCCTCAATTAAGGCTGCCGCTGGCCGTTCCTGTGTGGAAGTTTTCGCATGGCCTTTTTCAAAAATCAGATCGCCTAACTCCGTTGCCATGGTGCACTTTCAAAACTTGCAACACATTTAAAACATGCAACCACTGGAACACATATAAAACATGTAGCCATTGGTGTAAATGCAAACATGTCCAGTTTGCACAATTGAAGAGGATTGTTTCTTTGCTGCAGCCATTTGTGCGACTTTCCAAAGGCTAAAGGACAATCGCAGGGCAAGAGAATCGTCAAAATCCCATGGTTTCCAGCATGGCGCTTCGCATTGTCATCAGAGCCTTAGCTGGGTTTTTATGTTGCCCCCTATCGCGTCAGTTGGTTCGGTCACTTGTGTGTTTGTGCATATGTGTTTGTAGAATTCGCGTCTGTATAGAAGGAACGCTTCCACCTTTTCATTCTCTGCGGTTTGGCAGTCATCCACTAACAAAGACATTGCCTTTCCATGGTGGCATGACGAATGAACCTCGTAGTCAAGTACTTGCAGAATTTGTGGGAAATCGCTAGTGGCCAAGCCAAGAACGGCCTGGTTTGTGCAAGTGTGGGATTCCTTTTTCATCGGATCACTATAGCGATTATTTTCTGGGTTGCGCCCCGTGCGCGCGCGCGCGCGGTATGTGCAGTACGTGTCAATTTTCAGATTGAAAAACACAGATCATTACACAATTTTGTACACATTCACGCAATGTTCCGCAAACCTAGTGACTTTTCTTTAAACAACAATCTTTGGCATTGTGGTTGTGACACTGAGGTCTGTTGGTTCCGAGTGTGAGTGGATCGTGTTTGCCGGATGCCATCCCACCTGCAAGCCGGCAGAACCTGGTCGCTGCCTCAGCATTTTACGGGATGCAAACTGGGCCAAGGTGTTCACGCCACTTGTGAAGTGGCCAAAAAACTTATCCGCAGCGGAAAACCATCCATTTATCTCAACTTACTTCGATGATGTTCCGGTTGAAAATAAGGGTTTCGCGCCGTGTTTACCCCGAGAGCTCCCTTTGCTGTGGTGAGGCGTGCCCCAAAAATTTGAAGGTTGAACATCATTTTCTAATTCAAATGGCCATAATTCGGGGGTTTAATACGTTATACATCCGTATGAATCCGTATACATAAATAATTTTAAATAATTGTGATTTCCATCTTACACGTGATCATGCTTTACCTATTTTTGATGGTCACTCTTTCCACCATTGTTCAAAGAGTTGATGTAAAAAAACACAACCGAACAAGACCAGGTGAACCCCAATGGCGAGACTTATCCGGTGGGTGTTTTCATCTCGAACTACGCCGCCTCCTGGGCCGCCCAATATTTGGGAGCAGCCCTTATACAGGTGCGGGAAGGATGACATAGATTTGACAGCTTCCCCAAAGTTAGATACGAGATAAAACTTGATAAAACCATATGAAATCTCTGATTTAGAGAAGATGCATTTTAGTTTTCTGTTTGGGTGCTCCAAGTGGGAGGACTTCAGAAAGGTTTATCTAGCCAATTCAGTCCCGAATCCGGGTCATCCCAGTGGATTCCAGTCGATTCCTTCGTTCCTTTTTGAAACTTCCGGCCTCACGGCCCGGAAACTACTGGTATGTAAGAATGTATGCAGCAACGTGTGTGTATATATATATATATATGTACATACATATAAAGACACGTGAATGATGTCATGTATGTGTACATGTTTGCATATGATGGAACTCAACGCGTTGATGCAATTTTATTTTACCAACATGAGCGTTTGAGTTTACCATATGTCAACATACATGGGAAACGCCATTGAGCGCTGTTTGCAGGTGCATGTAAGCTTCAGCCGATGTCAAATTTGTGTCCTCCCACATGTATTTATCCAGGCTCAAGTGAGCCCCATCATTTTCCGTTGGTTCAGTGGGACGAAAAGAAACCACATGAGGTGGTTCGCGGCGTTGCTTGCTTAACAGATAGGCAAGCTTGATTTCAGTATCCTCAAGCTCTGAGGATTCCCAAGATTGAGCGCTAGCTTCTTGAGCAGGCTATAGTCTGGTTGTTACATAGTTATACTTATTATATATCTTGACACCAAGCATTTGTGTTCTGCTACGCCTGAGTGGCACGTTATCGGTCTTCGATTTTATCCCGTTACTGCTCGGATTCCAGCTGTCAGATGTACGCCCCGTTCTTCGTGCTGTGAATGGATCGGGAGCATGCGCGGCACTGATACTGTTTTTGCGATGTCCGGGCCACGCCGAGTGTATTTTCAATTTTCAGATCACACCTTGTTTCAGATTCTTGCGAATTCTTTCAGCAGTTCAACCACTCAGACGGAATTCCTTTCCTTGAGCAAGAGCAACCCAACCGTTGGCTCCTGTGAATCTATGTCCATTTCATGTCGCCTTTTGACATTCAAGACGCTCTCAGAGCTCATATTGATATGGGACTCCTGAATCATGTTCCCTTTTTTTTTGGTCCAGGGGGTCTGCACGCTCTGATTCATGTGTGCAACAGAGACAATTCCATATAATATTTAAAATTTGGTGACGTCCAAAGAAAATCCTTGTGGAGTGCACGCGTGAACCCATGTGTATAATGAAGACTATAACATATCACGTTCGACGTCAGAAAGTGGATCCATGTGGATTGAGTCACTGCACATGTGTCTTTGTGCTCGCATTTGCCTAATTTTGTTTTGTTTTTAGCTGCTCAAACCTGCGCTCGGAGAACAAAATCGAGTGGGGGCCTTGTGCAAGTAGACGTTTACAGACCTTTTCAGCTGAAATTCTGCCAAGTGGCAAGGTCAGGAAACTCTACTGAAAGTAACCGGTTTTCGAGCATGACACTCTCTTAGGTTGAGAGCTATACTTGGTCGAGTGACCTACCTGAAGGCAAGTGCCGGAATGTTTCTCCTCACGTGAGGTTCCTTTAGGTAAAATGTTTGGTCTTGAGACCAACGGCCAGGAGGCCTTGTATAATCGGCAGACGGTGTCGACGTAAAGTTAATGCTGTCAGAAGTGACAGTGGTGAGCTGGCTCACGAGTGTGAGTCCGTGATGCCTCAGATGATGCAGTGAAATTAGTCAACGCTCCACAAGCGGTGGAGAACATAAGGACAAGTTCAGCCCTCAAGAATCAAGTGATTCATTTGCACTGCCAAATGTTAACGTCTGGTTCACCTTCTTGTGGCTTTCTAGATCAAAAGTCCCACTCCTTAGGATCTAAAGAGGCGAGGACGGGAACCAGGACGTACGCCAGGCTCACGAATATGTTTTTTTTTTTCTTTCTGGGCATAAACGCCGAGGAGTGTATGACTGCCCGTGTGCCATAGCAGGAAAGGTATGTATTAATATATCTATATTTTTATATAAATTTAATATATATATATATATACATATGGTTATATGTAAGTCTGACCTCCGCCAGATAAGTTGTAGACCAACTCACAGTTATGGATAACACTGCAACCGTCCAGTTTGAGTTGTACTTTCCTGTGTCATAGTCACGCAGCATTGGCCAGGTATCTACGACCTCTGAGAAGGACATGCCAGGAAAAGGAAAGCAGGGGCATTCAACGCCCACACACTTCCGTGTTCCGATGGTCCCACTTATTCCATAGCACGTTCTGTGAATTTCACGCGACCATTTTGCTTGTAACTCCTAGTGTTATCTTGATTTAACGCAGCAGAGAAGGCGTTCGTGAACCCTGTGATCTGGAGGGCACGGCATGGCACTAAGAGCTGAAGATTGTTTTTTTTTGAGAATCCAGCCTGTCCGACGCTGGGTCCTCACTGTTCACTCCAGGCGTTTTGGAGTTTAGTCCAAACTGCCAAAGTCTGACAGACATAGTTGATTAGTTTAGTTTTGCATGCCGTTTTCTTTTTGCATTGACTGAACGCACCGTGCCAAAATGACCTTGATCGCCCAAATACAGAGCACTGAATCATGTCGCCAGCACGTTGGTCATTAGGCTATTATCCTTTCACATTCTTTCCATACTCCTCAGTGATGTTTTTTTTTACCCGTAGGATGTTCGGATCAATGTGCGACGAAGAGAACGAAGGCGTAGATGAAGGGAGGAGCATTCCTCTCCCGCACGACATTGATGGCACAAATGACAGCCATGGCATGGAATAGGGAACAGAGGAAGCGCAGGATGATGATGACGATGCAGAAAGGGCAATGATCGCCGCCGGGGAACACCTTCTTGATTCCATCGAGCGAGGAGAGGATCCCGGAGACTTGTTTGGACCACCGGATTTATCGCTAGATCCTTTGGAAGGCATGGAAGCCACACCCTCTGTTGATTTGCAAGATCCTGGAGCCCCAAGACCTCCGGGAACCGCTCTAGAGCGTTTCAGCGAAGAGGTCCACCAGAGAGTGCTAGGAGCAGACCTCGACGATGGTCTCAAGTTACCTTGGGAACAAGGGATTTTTGCATGCATTTTTGGGGATGAAGATCTGGTCCCATTGCCTTCGGTGCCAAAGGTCAAGCACAGCATCAACCCCAATGACTACCCTACAGCTCACCCTGAGCCAGTCGAAGTAGGCACAGCAGTGAAGCGGGAAAAAGCCCTGCATACTGGACCTCGCTTGTATGAGAGGGTGATCTCTTTTGGTGTCACCATGACTGATCCTGAGCTTGACCATGCAAGGTGGAATCGCGCATTGGAGAAACTTTTCACCGTTTTCACTTTGAGCCCCATGAGCAAACCAGACGGCCTTGTGTTGGACGATGAGGACATGCTAAAGAATTTCGAGCGCATCAGACAGTTGTGCGGCGCACGCAGTGCAAATACCATATTGAAGAGGGCAAACAGTCTTCTGGCCTTCTGCTCATGGCACAAGCAATATTATTACGGTAAAGATGCTTTCCCTTTGAGTTCAGAGTATGTGGCAGGCTATGTTTGGGAAAGGCACCAGGACGGAGTTCCATATAGCAATCTCATTGCCTTTGTGGAATCATTGAACTTCGCCACCCACGTTTTGAGCCTACCCATGATTGAGCCTACAAAACCTTTGGTCGATGCGTTGACCAAAGGCATTTCTTGACAAGACGGCCTTGAGCAGACCAACTAGAAAGCAGGCACGTCCCCTGCTTTCTTGTTGGTCCTAGAAGAATTCCTGAAAGATGCTGGCAATGATGTGCGCGACCGGTATGCTGCAGGAGTCTTTTTGTTTGCACTATATGCTATAAGCCGTTGGTCTGACTTGAAGGTCGTCCAGAACTTCTTTCTGGATGTTGACATCGTGGATGGGAAGAGTGTGGGCTTTGTAGAGTTCCGCACTTTCAGCCACAAAACTGCGTCGCAGGTGGCCAAGCATGGCCTTCCTATGCCATTAGTGGCGCCAATTTGGGGCCTGACCGCTCCGCCATGGGGCATAGCTTGGAAGGTTGTGGCCGACGAAGCAAATCTTTCTTTTGGAGATTTCAGTCAAGGACCACTATTACCAGCGCCCACGAAGCTGGGAATGTGGGGCATGCGCAGCACCAGCAGCACTGAAGCCACAAAGTGGCTGCTAGAGATTCTCTCCAAGCAGTTTGACTCTTTAGAGGACGTTTCATCACACTCATTGAAATGCACCTGTCTCAGTTGGATGGCGAAGGCAGGGGGCGACCCCAATCATCGCCTCATCCTAGGGCACCGCAGCACTGGCAAAGCCTCATTGGAAACGTATTCTCGCGATATGCTTTCTGCGCCACTACGAGCATTAGAAGAGATCTTGCGACAAGTTCGGGTAGGAGCCCTGCACCCAGACCGCACTAGGTCGGGACATGTCCAGTCTGCCAACAAAGATGATTGCAGAGAGACTGCGCAGAGAGGGGTCCAAGAATCTTCAGACTCCTCCTCAAGCAGTTCAAGCTCAACAAGCTCTGACGACTTATCGTCCGGGCCCGAGGATGAGGCAGGCCACTGGACTCAGTTGGCCAAAAGCCACCAGTCGGATCAAGGACCAACCTGGGACAACAAGAACATGTTTCAGCACCGCCAGAGTCGCATCATCCATCTCGAGGCTGATTCTGAAAAAGAACAATTCTTTTGTGGCATCCACAGGACTGTCGAGCACGAGGCAATCACAAGCAGTCCTTTCCTGGAGACCAGAAAATGCAAACGTTGTGAGAGGGCCCTAGCTTTCAAAGACTCAAAGTAGCGCACTTGACCAAGAAAAGCTTGCAATGCATTGCATTTGTGCCTTTATACACAGGTGAAATGGTTTAGGTGAAATTTCACCTGCACTTGCAAATATATACATTCAAATGCAAATATATTCAGAAGCAGTTGCATCCTGCCTTCCTGCGGGTTTTAGCTTTTGCCCGGAAGGATGCCTTTCCAACATGCACAAACGGGATGTGTTTGACCCCGCAAATTTCATTTTCGTTTTGCACTTTCCAAACAGCGTTTACTAGTCAGCTGGCTGTTATTTTTTTGTTTAAATAAAAACAGCTACTCCAGCCATGGCTCATGTTGCGAGGGAGGCAACCTCCCTCATCCATTCGAAGGATGCCTTAGAAGACCGAGCAAGGAAAGCAGGACTCAGTGCGGAAGAAACGCAAGCCATACTGGCTGGGAATGTCAACTCCTTGGCACAACTAGCCTTTGCTATGTGCCCACCTGGGCAAGCCCCGTCCGAGCAGGACATCAGAACCTTCTACGACGGGAGAGTGGCTGTGAATTTGGGCACAATCACCGCCACAAAGCTTCTGGTCTTTGAGGCGCATACCATGGTGGTGGCTAATATCAAAAATGAAATTTCCAGAAAAGATGATGCACACGCAGCGAGCACGCTGCCCAGCGCCGAAAGAGACCGGCGCATCAAAGACCAGAAGGAGAAGCTGAGAGGCTTGAGGCTCAAAGGGGATGAAGAGTGCGCTTTTTCTGCGTACGATCTCGTCTTTACCCTCTTGGAAAAAGACACTTTGACCTACCTTCACCCAGAACGTTTTCTCACCCGAAGAGCCGAGTTGCAGCAGAAAAAGCCTGCCCGTGAACTTGTACTGGACCAGAATGCCTTGACAGTGCGCGACAAACAGCCTGAGGCAACCTGTTCAACCCGCACAGAGCTAGAAGTTGTTCAGGCCATGCGCCGCCGCGCTCTGGCATTTGATTTGATAGGTTTGTGCCCCTATACCATGTGATGAACACTTACCAAAGTGAGCTTCTGAGCCACCTTCAAGAAGACTCACCACCTGGGTACGTTCCAACAACCTTAGTCCAGGTATTGAGAGCCGACCGGGCGGCTTTCATGTATTTAGCCGAGAATTTAACAACTTTGAAAAGAGATGCCACAGGACAGCTTGCTCTGGAACGTGAACTCCCAAATGTCTTGTCAAAGCCGGGCGTCAGCTTCCATTTGCTGCCCCTCGCGGTCCACAGCAGCCGTGCCGCTGCGCCGTCCAACCCAGCTACGGTGCCCAGCAACAAAAGAAAGCTTGAAGATTTGCAGCCAGCTCCCAAGAAGGTCCCTACGAAGGACAAAGGCAAAGGACGTGGCAAAGGAAAGAAAAAGGGGCGTGGGCCCAATGTCCCGCGCGACCTGATCGGCAAGGCGCTGGAAACATCTTCAGGTCAGAGGATCTGTTGGCCCTTCAACATGCGGGCCGGGTGCTCAGATGCACCGCCCGGAGGGCAATGCTCCCGAGGTGTACATGTTTGCGCCGAACACAACTGCGGCAAGCCGCACGGGTTGCCAGATCACTCGTGACGGTCCCCGCCGCCACTCAAGCCCAGCAACTGGAGGACATTCGCCAACAGACCCATGTCCAGACCAAAAACCACACGCTCCCTTTGGTCAGCTAGTTTCGCGAAATCAAGCAATGGCCCGCAGACAGCCCTCTACCTGCTCGCGCCCGCCGCCTCAACACTCCACCTGTGGGGAACATCGCGAGTGAAGGGCAAGTGACCATAGGATTTCATAGAACACCGCATGAATTTGTCAAAGCGGCAGCTGCAGCCAAGCACCCAGGCATGATGGCTGATGAAATCCCAGGCCCTATGCTCGAGGCGGTTAAGTTCAATTCCTTGCAGAGCCCTGAAGCGGTAGCAAAACATAGATCAGAGACGATCAGGCGTTTGATCAGCATGGCCAACACTTTGGACCGCTCAGAGGCAAAGCTAAAAAGTGAACTTCCCGAAAGGCGTAGGGAAGTGCTTGGCAAGAAAAGGCTCCTTCTGTTCAAAGCGTTGCTTGAAGAAGCTGGGTCGGCAGACAACAACCTTGTTGATGATATTTGCAGGGGCTTTGATCTAGTCGGCAGGCTGCCAGAATCTAACTATTTTGAGAAACGCTTCAAGCCAGCGAACCTCGCACCTGCATCGCTTCGAGAGGTTGCCGAGAAGGCGAGGGTTGCGCTGCTTGGCAGTGTGCAGAGCTCTGGACAGCCCGGCCTTGACTCCGGGGTCTATGAGGCCACTCTCAAAGAAAGAGAGAAGGGATTCCTGGTGGGGCCTGTCGCAGCGGACACCATCCCGGAGGGCGGAACGCTGACTCGCCGCTTTGGCGTTATACAGCGAGATAAAGTCCGTCCAATTGACGACTACAGGTCCAGTCTGGTCAACGCTGCAGTAGCCCAACCTGAAGCTGTATCCTTGCACGGCATAGACCATGTGGCTTGCCTTGGATCCTGCATCCTGCGCAGCTCATCCCCGGGTACTCCAGATGAAGGCCTGGAAGCCAAGTGTTGGGATTTAGCAGCTGCCTATAAGCAAGTGCCTCTTTCTGATCCTGCGTATCATTTGGATTCAAATATTGCTGTTTATAATCCTATAACGGGCCAGCCGGAAATTTTTCAGCAAAAAGTCTTACCATTTGGCTCGATCGCCTCAGTGACCGCCTTCTTACGGTGTGCAACAGGGATCTGGCTGATTGGGAGCGCTGTGCTTTTCCTTACTTGGACGTCATACTTTGATGACGACCTCAATTTTTCAAAGACATCGCTTTGCAAGCATACAGATATCTGTATTTCAGTCTTTTTCCGACTTTTGGGGTGGGATCTTTCTGAGGAGAAGCTAGTCCCATACAGCCAGTGCTGCAAAATCCTTGGCGTCGAACTTGTTCTCTCGATCCAAAATACACAGGCAAGGCAGACAGAGCTGACCGAGACCATTGCAGCTATCCTCAAGCGAGGAAACCTGACCAGGGTGGAAGGTGAGAAGCTCAGAGGTAGGCTGCAATTTGCGTCCAATCAGCTCTTTGGACGGCGCTTCCGAAATTGCCTCACAGCTTTGAACACTCATGTGAAGCAAGGGTCCAGACACGTTTCACATGACCTACGGGCTGCTTTGACACTCATGTCAAAACTCCTGGGCCTAAACAGGCCTAGGTTGGTAGACGTCAATTTCTTGGAATGGGTGCACCTCTATGTAGACGCTTCATACGAACAAGGTGAGAAGGGTGGAGTTGGAGGTGTCCTCTATGACTCTCAAGGGAATTGCCTTGGTTTCTTTAGTGAGCCAGTGTCCTCAGAGTTGGTCAGTAAAATCAAAAGAGCGGACCAAGAAACCATTATCTTCGAGTTGGAAGGCCTCGCCGTCGCGACTGGTTTGGCCTTGTTCAAAGACTTATTGCGTGGAAAGCGCTTGGTCATCTTTACTGACAATCAGGCCGTGCAATCTTGCTTGATCAAGAGTAAACCCTCCAACAAGCACATGGACCTGGTGATCAGGTTTATCTGCTCCACGGAGGAAGAGCTTGACGTCATGTCTTGGGTAGAACGTGTACCTAGTCAATCAAATCCAGCGGATGTCTTTTCGCGTGAAATAGTAGAGTTCTTTGAAGGTCTGAAGAAGTCCCAGGTTAACTTGGAGGAGATGTGGGATAAAAGCTTGAAGGAAGCTTGGGCAGAAAGTCTGTACACGGGGGAGTGGCGCGACCCCATCTGCAAAGGAGAAACCTGAGATTTTCCCCGAGGTCAAAAGAAGCGTGCATGCAGCTGCAATTTCCATGTGAATCAGATGCGTTCAATGCTGACGTCATGACAGTAAAACAAGATGGAACTCAACGCGTTGATGCAATTTTATTTTACCAACATGAGCGTTTGAGTTTACCATATGTCAACAT